GCTTTCCAGTGATTCCATCTGTAGTTTATCATTTGCTTCATTAATATTAATACCTATTAATACTATTAATATTAATACTAATTAATATTAATATTAATATTAATACTATTAATACCTTCCCCACTGCTTTCCAGTGATTCCATCTGTAGTTTATCATTTGCTTCATTCTCCTTGTCACAAATTTCATTTTTATTTTGATCCCTAGAAAAGGACCCAGACCAAGACTTGTCATCATCTTCATTACATTCCACAAGCGGCACAGACAAGTTAGCTGGCGATGAGACCGCCACAGGGCCACCCTGCCCAACATGCCCGTCCTCCCCCAACTCTAGACGCACCCTCTCTGCACTCCCGCCACTGTCATCTATTCCACTGTCTTCGGCAGTTAGCACTGAAGTAAACCATCCAGACCCAAGAGAAGAAAAGCTGGGTTCGCTAAGACTGTTTTCTATTTTGCTATCTCCAAAGTTTGCGATCATGCTCTCTTTGTCAAGAAAGGTACTGTTCATTGCTGGAGATAGTAAATCTCTGGATTTCCTTTCATTGGCATTGCACGTACCACTACCCACAGTTGAATGAGAACTGCTCAGGCCTGTGCTCGTGCTCAGTGAGCTTGTAATGGAGTCATCCAAATTTTTCCCCTCTAGAGGTAGAAAAATATGAATACTGTTACAACATGTATTGAACGAGAATTGATTTTTTTTCCTAGCTGAAGAATGACACTGTCACAGGTTGCTGGTAAAAGAGAATGGTGAACCCTTGTGGCTTGAACAAGTACCGTACTGTCTTTATGGCCGTTTACCTGCAGGTAATCTGTTGATTTTGCCTTAAACATGCATCACTGCGGGTAATAGGGAGGTGCGGGTTATGTGACAATTTTGAAATGTACTGACGTTTGAATTGAAAAAAATTCTCACTTGCCCGCATTTCCACCTCTCAGATGAATTTTATTGCATTAAGAGTGCCACAAAGCGGCATGAAAATCTGATTGCCAACTCGAGTTTATTTCACGCACAATTAGTTACCCGACGAACAAATTTTTATCAGCACGCGTGTAAACAAAACCTTGATGGTGATAAAAATAATCCAAGGATAACCGGCGCATCAGTAACAAATTTCCAGTTAACACAAGCTTGAGCTGAAGAGAATTTTCTCATTTTAAGGGACTTGTTGGGCCCAGTAGAACCAGAGATATCCATTTTTTTACGCAATCAACAAGGCAACATGGCGCTGAACGATCGCTCGTACTTATGTGACCAGGAATTCGCATTCCGTCAAGAATAAAACACTGTGAATTCTAGAGCCTTTCTGTTTCCTTTGCGTTAAGGTGCGGGTTATCCACCAGTAAGGGTAATCTGTTGACTTTTTTTTTTGGCCACATGCATATAATCAGCCGGTGCCGGTAAACGGCTGGAAATTACAGTACCATAATTATTTCAACTATAAGAATCAGGGCACTAAGAAGAGGGGCAGTATTAAGAGGGCATTTAATCAAGGGAGGTGCAAGGCTTGACACTAACGGTAGCCCACTAGCCACAGACTAATAGAAATTCAGTTTCAATGGCTGGTGGTTTTCAATTTCCACTGGCCAGTTTGGATAGTAAACAAACTGAAATTGTTGTAACAGCAAAGCTGTCACCAGCCACTTGGCTTAAGTAAGCTGAAGAGTTTGTGTCAAGCCCTAAGGGGGATTGCTTATTAAGAAATTCTGAACCTGTACTGATTCTGTTGTGACTGAGGTTTAAAAAGGTTAGAAATATCTCTACTATTTAGAAAGTGATGGAGGAGGATGGGGGGGAGCACCTGTTTGATATTATTGCCTAGGGGGTGGGTGCTTATTCAGGTTATGGAACTCATAAGAGCATAGTCATTTATTCATTAGAAATGAAATACAGTATTTAATTTAATGATAAAACTAATGGAACTTATGCCTTTGTTACAACTTATGTCTAAGAATGCTGACGAGTGAGACCAGCCAACGAGTGAGAGATACTTTCAGCACGAGAAGATAAAATTCGTATCCCGAAGCGGCCATGTAATGTTCTGTTTATCATATAGATACTGATGAAATTTCCACATAAAAGACAACTTTTTTTATTCATTTTCGAAACAGCAGTTGGGTAATTATGTCGGTAACCATGGCCACACCAATATCCTCACACGTGAAAGATAGAAATAGTATCTTCGCTGCACGCGGTGAAGATATGATTTTTTAGTAAAAGGAGATATCCTGATATTTCATCAGTATCTATATAATAAAAATAGGTAACACAACATAACAGATATCCGATGACACACAGGTGCCAATAATTACTTAGGAGAACTAACAACAAAACTAACATGGAGATAAATATTTTACCAGGACTTCCTCCACTGTAGTTACTTGCTTTAGAATCCAGTTCACGTGAGTAAACCACTGTACTTTTCCTATCTTTAGAATCCCTGAAACCCCATTCATCGTCATCATAATCATAATCAAACTCGTCATCCTCATCATCGAATGGGGGAAGTGGCATACTGTTGTCATCAACATCTTCCATATCATCATAGAAGTTTGGAATAAGATCAGTTACATGCTATAAAGGAATTATGATACCAATCAAATGTGAGTTGACAGAGTTTTTTCTTGGTTCAAATGCCTCACTCTAGCACAACTTTTTAATAATCAATTCTTTGTGTAATCCTCAAATACTGCAGAATTAAGCCAAATCACATATCAATTTTTAGTGCTGCTGTTTGGTTTTTGCTCGTAAGCCTTATTTCACCCTGTGAAAATTTTCTTCTAAGCCATTTACTCACAATAGCAGAATATTTACTGTTAAACTCCTCCAAACTTAAAATTAAAACATGACTGTATTCCCTTGGTTCAAATTCCCCACTCCACCCCTGGGCAAAGTTCAAATTGTCAGCATCATCATCGTTATCATTACTATTGTCATCCTCATGATTATGAAATTACTGGCTTGATTTTGCCCATGGGNAGGAACAAATTGAAAGTTAATCAGATCTCGAAGTATTATGAGTCCCAAACCCAACTCTAATACACCAAAACACGTTAAAGGCAATGATGCAGATGGAAAAAGATGAAAAGGGAGTGTGGTTCACAAAAACAAAATATTACAGGAAGTCACTTACTTGTTTCCCATCAGAACCTCTGGTGAACAGTACTCCATTGTGCCACAAAATGTACAAAACTTTTTCCCTTCTTCCATGTATGCTGCTGACCCAAAGTCAATCAACTTGACATGGAATTTGTCATCCAAGATGATATTTTCATCCTGCAATTAAGGTTAGTTAAAAGGGATTAAATTTAATATAACTGCCAAACGAGCCTATGATTGTTTCTCCACAAAAAACTAGAAATTTAGGTACGGCTCAGATTTAAAGTTTTCTGTGGCAGTTGTCCTGTCACCTTTGTAGGGGCATCAAAGCACTTACTCCATTAAGAAACTAACCTTCACATCCCTATGAAGTACGCTATGGCTATGAAGAAAGGATACAGCTGAAACAACCTAAGGCAGAGACAACAACAACAAAAAAAAACAGATGGATACATATTAAAGAAACATACTGTAAATCCTCTACTAAGCCCCCAGGGGGCTTTGGAGGGGTACTTTGGAGGGGTGGCTTATTAGAGAGGGGGGCCTAATAGAAGCGGGGGAGGGCTTTTCAATTTAGAACTCAATAAAAAATTCAATTTTTGATCTAACTCTCTCAATGGACCTTGTTTAACCATGTTGTACTTTTAACATAGCTCCGTAATTTCCATATACGGGACCTATTAGAGGATTTACAGTGACATCATATTTTGTGCTGACAGAAATATGCTGGACATAAGAACATCAGAGACTCACTCCCCAGTGCCTTATTTGCCTTTTTTTTGTTTTTGTTTTTACCGCATTTTGACCTCATCTATACACCGAATGCAAATATGGCGTCCAATTTGAATTGCCATTGTTCTGGACTGACTAGCCTCGTCTTCGCGTAGAAACACTAAAGGATTATTGCATGTGTGAGAGGCTAGTCAGTCCAGAACAGTGGCAATTTAAATTGGATGCCATATTTGCATTCAGTGTATGATCTATTGCTAAACAGACTCACAACAACATGGAATCTATTTTACAATCACTTTGCTAACAGAGCACAACACAAGAGCTGGTAGTTTTTTTGTTTTTTGTTTTTCCTTACAAACGACACACAAAGGACATTCAACACAGAAATTTCATACAGAAATAACAAGTCAAAAGACGGATGAATACCTGTCTGAACAAGTAACTGCAGAGGGGTTCATCTGTTGCTGGTTGTCTGTCAATAAACTCAAACAAATCCATTCCACTTCCATGCTTCTCCATGACCAACTGAAAGAATTCGTCATTTTCAAAAGCCTCCAGCATCTACAAGACAAGAAAATTATTAATTATTATTAATAGCAAGATCACATTTAGGAATTCAGTCTCCAAAAAATAAGTCTGTAAACAGCTCTGAGGGTCCAGAATTTGTTTTACTTCATCCCATACAAGAACAACAGAGTTTTCATTAACCTCGTTCACCCTAACTTCAGTAAGAAAGTTCCCCATTGTTTCGCCCAGAAATTCTATTATTGATCATTAAGTTAATTTCTCCGCTAATGAGATACGTTATAGTGATGTCATAATACTAATGTAAGTCATTTGTCAGCTGTGGACCTAGCCAACTCACTGGGTAAATATCAAATCGTTTTGAATATTACTTTAGTATCTGAGCATTTCATAACAGTGTGACTTCCTTTTAGGATTTGAACACACTTCTTTGATTGTCTGGTAGTAAAGTCATCAATAAAGATGTTTGATAACAGTGAACCAAAAGCCCACAACTAATGAAACACCCATAGTGTTCTCTACAAATTTCCTACAGTATTTCTAATAATTTGTCTAACAATCAAGAGCTTTTTGAGTTTGCGATCATTTTCTTTATTCTCATGACCTTATAGTCTTTGATTCAGGGGTGATGCCGTGGGGAGAAATTAGATGCTAATCATTCTCAGGGGTTAAAGGTGTTAAGAAAATAATGGGGTAACATTAGAAAAGTGTACATAAACGGGAGTAGATAAGTATACCAGTAACATAACACCTTCATGTCTGAGTAGAAAAATAGCTTGATAGGTCATTGAAATTTAGCACGAGAATTCTGCATAGAAGTTGCAGAATTTCCCAGCATCCAGTCCCAACAAGTACCCTTCTTAAAAAAAAAAAAAGTACACCTTCTGATCTCCATTATATCTACTAAAATCAAAATCTTTAACATTAAAATTCATATGGCTCAATAATACTAAAGTGCTGAATTTCAGAGGCTAGAGGTAATAAATGCATACACTTTACCTTTACAATGTTTGGGTGTTTAAACTTTGCCAGCAAAGCAATTTCCAATGGAATTGAACCTAAGATTGAATCTTCTACCCAACAGTCAGGCAGAATTTTTGCTTTCCTGATGAACTTGACAATGACCTGGAAATTACAACCAATCATAACGTCACAATGAAATGTAACCCAACAAAATATAAGAGGAGAGAGAAATGGCTGAGAATAACTTTGGAGGAGTTTTTTCCCTCATCTTTCCTTTCTCCCCCTCCACCCTTTGACTCGCATGATCTAATTTAGTGATTCTCCTCACTGTCTGCCATAGAACTCTTATGGCATTAGTTTGGAGAAGTTGGTATTGGATCAGTAACTAATCCCCTAATTTACATTTTTCTTTCTTCTCATCACTTGTCTGCTTGATATTGTACTTGAAGAATTTCTGTTTTAGTCACTCATGGGAGTTTGAGGGCTAACAAAACTACAGATCCCTATATACTTCAAAAAATGAGTTCAGCTCATCTGTAACTGGTGGATGAGCTCTAAGGATAGCTTCTTTTTCATTCTTAACCATTTAATTCCCAGAAGTGATTAACTTGCAACTTCTCTCCACAATATCCATACAATATCCATACATTATCCAGTAAATGGGTAATGAAAAATAATACTCATAGTTAGCTGGTAGAACACTAAATTCTCATAACTTTTGTTCAAGGAAATGTTTAGCAGATAGAAGGGAGAATTAACAATCAGACCTTGGAAGTTGAAGGGTTCGTTAATTTTGTCTCACAGTCTACCTATTGACAGAATCAGGATAAATCTTATTTACCCAACATTGCAGAGCATTCAACTGAGAATTCTACAAAGAAGAATGAAAAACATCCTCACCTTAACTCCATCCGATCTCCGTTGACCAACTTTCACAAAACCAAATGCACCCTTTCCTATGGACTGGAGGGTTATGTACCTCTCATCGTACCGGCCACGCCCAGGGGATGGTTCCTCTCTCAGACTTCCTTCACTTAATTGTTGACTGAGCTGCAAACAAAGGAGACTAAAATTTATTCTATGGGAAAATTCATTACTTGACGAGGGAATTCCGCATTAAATTGCAAGCGAAAACCAACATCGCACGAATCGCAAAGCGATTCGTGCAATATCGGTTTTCAAGTGCAATTTAATGTGGAATTCTCGAGTGAAGTAATGGATTTTCCTTGAATCGCATGACTGAATAAAAGTGAGAAAAAAAAAGGAACAGCATTACTTAAAATTGTTATGTTTACGTAAATGCGAAACAATATCACTTACCCTTGTTTTCAACTCACAATTCCTCACTAAATAGCTCGCTTCATTAACCAATCAGAATGCGAGATTTTATTCAATGATGCAATTCTATGATGTATGATTTAAAAGTGTTTTTTAATCTTACTTATTGTTAACAATGCACAGGCAAATATTCAAAGACATAAAGAAATTTTATATTCTTAAACTCTTGATAAACATGTGGTTGCCAGTGATTTCTAGAATGAAGGTTACAGACATAATACATTAAGAACGGAACAACTAATTACAACGATGAAATAACATAGGAAACACGGATAACATAGGAT